ACTTCATCAGCCTGAGACCAGAAGAACTAGATGGTGCCCGGCTACCACCAATGACAGCCCTGACAGGGAACACAAAAGAGAGTCCATGATGGAGCAGGAGAAAGGTGGGGTACAGAACTCAAATTCTAGTAAGAAGACCAGACTTAATGGTCTGACTGAGACTGGAGGAACCCCAGAAAGCATGGCCCCCAGATTCTCTATCAGCCCATTACTAAAACCATTTCCGAGGCCAACTCTTCAGACAGGGATTGGACTGGACTGTGGGGCATAAACTGATACTCGTGAGGAGTGTGCCTCCAAGCTCAAGTAGATACAAGAGACTAAATGGGCAGCTTCTGTCTGGAGGTGAGATGGGAAGGCAGAGAGGGTTAGAAGCTGGTTGAAAGGACATTGGGAATCAGGGATGGAAAGGAGGAGTGTGCTGTCACAATATGGGGAGAGCAATTAGAGTAACATAACAATGTATGAATAAATTTTTGTATGGGAAGAATGAAAAAAAAGAAAAAAGAAGGAGCCTGGGTTTCCAATGCTGCCTTACCAGCCCTGGACACCTTATATTTGAATGGTTTTATGAGATAATGGCTTCATGTTTAAAAAAAAGAAAGGAAGAAACAAAACAAAACCCGTTGCCATCGAGTTGATTCCGACTCAGAGCGATCCTATAGGACAGAGAAGAACTGCCCCACAGGGTTTCCAAGGAGCGGCTGGTGGATTCGAACCACCAACCTCTTGGTTAGCACCCTGAGCTCCGACTGTTATTTTGAAGTCTTTGTTATAGCTGGTACCTTAGCTAACATAGAGGGCTTCCAGGCTAACACCCAGCGTCTGAATTCAGGAAGATCTAACTGTAGGTCCTCTCTGAACTTCAGCCTCTTCATGCTGAAGTAAAATAGTGAATATAAAATATTTACATGGACTTTGAACAGTGACAGTTTTTACTATTTCTACCCTGCCTTCTACACATTTATTGACCTAAAGCCAGGAAAGAAAAGTCACAAATGTCCTGTTGTTACAAGGGCTAGAGTTACACAAAACAGACACTTAATAACTGCCTCAAAAAGCCCACAACTGTAAGCTTCAGAACTACAGGAAAGTCCACACATCGAGGAACCCCCATTCAAAGTTCTAAGACTGTAAAAAAGTTTTCAGCAGAACTTAGATTCCATTCACGCCCTCGGTAAAAAATTCATGTAGGTACATCCAGCAGCCTGCCATCTCTCCAGCAACCTGATCCTCGCAATTATAACCTCCCTGTAAAAAGGCAATCCTCTCAGAGAATTTTTAGATCACGCATTGCATTTTAGAACTTCTTCCCTCCGAACGCAAAACTCTACCCTGGCACAGCCTAGGAGCAGGCTTTCAGATGAAGCTCGTGGGAATATTTGTATTGCTGTTTCTCTATTTCTGATTCTTGGAAATGTCCCACAAATGTGATCAAAATTGCTGCCCCAGTTTGCGCCAACTTCCATTTGCCTCTTTGCTTTGTGTTCATTTCCTGCACTAGCATTGTTCCAGTAGATGCTTTTCAGGCCTCTCTCTACCTAGCCAGGCGGGGCCCTGGCACTGGGGCTTTTACACATCACAGCAACGTGTGTTGAGCACCTACTGTGTGCCGGGCTCTGTGCTGGGCACCAGGGACACCACCAGGAGCAAGACAGACACAGCCCTGCCCTCCTAGAGCTTAAGACCTAGTGTAGGAGACAGCTAAGACAGAATTGTAATTCAGACCACCGAAGTGTCCCCAAGAGCAAGGCCAGGGGCTGGAGGCATCCAGGGGAGGGGCCTCTAACCTTCTGGAGGTCATGGAAGGCTTTTCTGAGGAAGTGATGTCTACACTGAGGCCTAAGGGATGAGTGAGAAATAGTCCAGAGAAGGTAAAGAAAGGTCTCTAGGCAGAGTGTATCAATTAGCTTATATTATGTGACAAAGAATCCCAGAACTTCATGGCTTAAAACAACAAACCATATATTGCTGCTCATCACTCTGTGACTCAGCTGGGCACAGGCTGGGATTGTCCAAGCTCTGTGGTCTGTTGGCGAGTTGGCTAGTTGGCTGGCTGTTGGCTGGCCGGCACGGGTGACGGGGCCATGGGTCTCTCAGTATCCGGCAGGCTAGCCAGGGCTTATTCACATAGCAGTGAACTGGCATAACATCTCTTCCACCATATTCTGTTGGTCAAAGCAAGTCACAAGACTAGTCCAGATTTAAGGAGAGGGTGAGGAGCTGCAAAGTCACATTGCCAATGGGCATGGATAGGGAGAGGTGTGAAAATTGGGGCCATTTTTGCATCAATCTAGCACATAGAGGAAACACCGAGAGCAAAGCCCAGAGACCAGCACAGCGTATTCCAAGAACCACAGCGGCTGAATTGTGGGGCTCTGTAAGCCAAGCTGATGAGTCCAAACTTTCACCCGAGGGCGATGGGGAGCCATGAAGGGTGCTAAGCGGGGGAGTGAGACAAAATTTCACTTTAGAATACTTTGATGGCTACAGCCTCCAATAATCTAAACCTCTAGAGATGAAGAACCATCTGGAAAAATTCCAACAATACAGAAACTACATAGAGAAAAGTGCAAGTCTTTTTTAAACCCATCCCCTCCAAACCTCATGCCCTCCTCAGAGGTAATTGGCGCTGTTACCTCGGTGTGGATCCTTTCAGACTTTCTCTTGAGCCTTCACACACACACGCATACATGCACACACATACCCACACACACCACAAACACAGTGTTGTCTTTTCAAAAATGGAAGCATGCTCTGCACATATATATCCAGATTCATTCGTTTTCACTGCTGTATAATATTCCACTGTGTGGACAGCACACAGTTTGTTGATCCACTCCCCTTTTGATGAGCATCTAGGTTGTTGCAAGTTTCTTCTGCATGATCAACACTGCAGTACCCCTTCTTGCCCGTCAGTGCCGGAGTCTCTCCCAGGTTCATGCTACAGTGTGCGGGTAGGCTGTGGGTGAGTGTATCCTTAGTTGTCTTAGACATTGACGAATTGCTTTCTAGCATGGCTACCAGGTTCCCCCGCCACTGGCGTGTCCGAGAGGGCCCCTTTCTTATTTCTCACATCCCTGACACTCAGTACATAAAAACCAAAAAACCAAACCCGTTGCCGTTGAGTTGATTCCGACTCATAGCAACCCTATGAGACAGAGTAGAACTGCTCCATATGGTTTCCAAGGAGCAGCTGGTGGATTTGAACTGCCGACATTTTGGTCAGCAGCTGAGCTCTTACCCACTACACCACCAGGGCTCCCTGAGTATTGACAGACACATAAATACTTGTCATTCTGCTGGGTGTCAATAAAACGTCATCCTTGTTTTAATCCACCCCATTGTTTTAAGTGGCTACATAGTATTCTACAGAAGGGGAGTAATTTAGCCAGTCCCCCAGAGATTTGCTTGGAGATTAATTATTTTTTATTTTATTTTTCCAAATAATGCAGCAACAGACGTCATCATAGGCATCTCTCTGCACATAGCTGAGTGTCTGCAGACAGAGTCCTAGAAGTAGATGACTAGGCTCCAGGGAATACCTCCCACACTCGGCTGCTGTCCCAGTTTATACCCTGACTGGGGATTCGAGGGCCTGGCTCCCTGCATCCTTGCCAACACTCTGTCTTCAATTTTTGTCAATTTGATGGCAAAAATAGTATCTCAACATTGTTTCAATTTGAATTTCCCTGGACACCAAGGAGGTCAAGCATACTTTCCTACGTTTATCGGTCTTTCTGGTGAATTACCTATTCATAGTCTTTGCCCGTTTTCCCAAGGGATAGTGTCCTTATTTATGAAGACTTTTGCCACGCAAGTTTACTTAAAAATGGCTCTTTCAACCCTTAAAGATTTCTTTCTTAAAAAAAACAAACAAACCAGGGGAGAGCTAGGGGCTCGGAGAGCTGGCCGGCCTCGGGAGAGGCTATCGCCAGGCCTGGGTGTGTCTGCTCCCAGCAAACCCCACTGGTACCATCTCCATCTGCTATTTTTTTGAGAAATGGGGCCAGCAGTGGTCTGGGAAGGGGAGCAAACACGGGGCAGTCCGCCGCCCACTCAGCAGGATTGGAGGGCCTCCGTGTCCGCCTTGGCAACCCAGGTGCCTCCAATCCCACCACCAGCGCTGCCAGCCCTGGCTGACCGAGGGCCTGGGAGGGTCTGATCTCAGCTAAGGATATCCCAGAGAGAACGACAGTGAAGAGGGGGCCTGAGGAGCCCCAGACAAACCCTGCTACCCTCAGGGGATACCAAAGGGGACCTGCTTCCACAGAGTCACATCCCCAGTCCACATCATTTCGCCGGTGGGAGCTGAGACCCAGAGAAGTCAAGCGACTCACCGGAGGTCTCACAGAGGTGGATGGCCAGGCTGGGACCCCATGGCAGGGAAACAGGGCCGCAGTGCCCCATCGCCCCTCCTGCCCCAATCAGCTCAGCTGCTCCCAGCCTAATCAGGGGTTGATTGGAGGGGTGGGCCAGCCGTAGTATATAAGTCAAGGGAGGCTGGCCTGGCTCCACTTCCCACAGGGAAGGGGCGCTGTAGGCCTCACCTGCCTGTCCGATGGCTGCCGGGAGCTATGCTTACAGCGATACCTCGGAGGCCTCCTCAGCGGGGTCGGCGGGGCCATCTGGGTCTGAGAGGCCAGGTGAGCAAGGGGATGCGGCACCTACCTCATCCCTGAGAGCCCATTCCCCGGACTGTCCTGGGCCCTTCCTCCTCCCACCCTCCTCCTCCTCTCCCAGCCCACCCTAGAGGCTGTTGACTTCAACTACCCTTGGGGCAGAGGAGCTGGCGCCACAGGTAGTGAAGCCAGGCTGGGCCTGGGCTGAGGCCGGCCTAGCTCAGGGGAAGAGGGGGAGCAGGGCTGCTCCAGCTGGAGCCCATTTCTTGGCGGGAAGGGAGGCTGGGCTATAGCAGCAGTGCAGCTAATTGGAGGGACTCAAGCAAGGAGCGTTTGAATTTGGGGCTGTATTCCAATTTTCAATCAACAAACAAGGATCTGGGATTCCTCTGGATGTGGGGCCCACCCAGGCGAACCAAACCCAGTTCATTCCCTTGAGTTGCTCCCAGGCTTCTCATTAATATTTGCTATTTGTTATATGGCATGTACTTTAACGGAGGGAATCCTGGCTGGGAGGTCAGGGAAGGCTTCCTGGAGGAGGTAGCCCCTGAAGTCTAGAGAGGCCCCACCCAGGGGGGAGGGGCAGGATAGGGGAAGTGTTCTGAGCATTTGCAAAGGCTTCTTGGGGGTTCCAGGTGCTTGCTGGGGCACAAGCGTGGAGTTGCTCCCTCTGGCTTGGGAAGTCAGGGGAGGTGTTCAAACCAAAGTGCCATTTGGGCCTTGAAGGATGAGTGAGAGATGCCTGGGGGACCAAGGAGAACAGCATCCCAGGCAGAGGAAACAGCATGGGTAAAGGCCCAGAGGCAAGGGCTCTGCAGGAGCATTTGGGGAGCTGCAAGGCTTCCTGCTTGCTAGGGGCAGAGTTGGGGGACAGTGGTGAGAGGCAGGCCAGGGGCCCATGAACTGGGCCTCCAAGCTGTGTTCAGGAGTGACAACTCTTACACTGAGGGCAGTGGGGAGCCACAGAGGGTTTTAAGCAGGGGGGTGAGGGATGTGGGATATGGTGTGGGGGGGGAATGGATTGAAAGGGGAAAGAGACTGGAGCCATAGGAATGGAGAGGGGAGACCAGAACAGAGAAAGAGACCCATGGGAAGGTGTGGAGCAGTTGTGGTTTGGGGGAGAGGGGCTCTTGTTTGGACATCTGTGTGGAGACAGGTTTGAGGGACGTGTGAGTTCTGTTTTGGACATTCAGGAATACAGCAAGCATTTAATAACTGCAGAATGAGGGGCTGAATCCAGCTGTAAGGGCTGGGGTTTAGTAGGAGAGAGAAGACAGGCCTAGGAGGAGCAAGTGTGGGGACATGGGGGTGGTTCCTGTGGGCAGGACATGGATAAGGGGAGCAGGGGATGGGTTGGAGCTGCCTTTCGAGACCAGGCGGGAGAGCCACTCGGGGAACCCCATAACCCTGCAGCTGGGAGGGTTTAGACCCCTTAAAGCTCCCTGTCCCCACTGTACAGATGGGAAGACTGAGGCCTAGAGAAGGGAGTGAAATTCCTGAAGTCCCAGAGTTGACCAAGGTGGGATTCATTCCACCAGCCAACAGGCTTTGACCCCAAAGCAAATCTTCCTGGACACTGGGCTCTTCCTGGCCAGGGCGCAGCTGGGGTTGGATTGAAATTCTTTAGGCCTCTACAATTTCCAGGTGGGTTTATTTTTCTTTTAAATAATATCTTATTGCATTTTCAGTGAGGATTTACACAGCAGTTTAGATTACCATTCAACAATTTCTACACAAGTTGTTCAGTGACATTGGTTACATTCTTCATAATGCATGAACGTTCTCAAAATTTTCGTTCTGGTTGTTCAGTTTCTGTTAACCTAGTTTCTTTGACCCCTTACCTTCTCGTCTTTGTTTTAAAGTAATTGTTGACCATTTGGTCTCGTATGGGTGATTTTTTTAAAGGAGCACAGTACTCACAGGTGATACTCTTTATTTTGTGAGCCAATATGTTTTTAGCTAAAAGGTGATCTTGGTGTCTAGTTTTGATTCAAGGTTTCAAGAGTGTTTCAGGGCAATAGTCTCTGAGTGTCCTCCAGTCTCAATCAGTCCAGTCGTTTTTTTGTTAGGTGCCGTCGAGTCAGTTCCAACTCATAGTGACCGTACGTGCAGTAGAATGAAGCACTGCCCCGTCCTGTGCCATCCTCATGGTCGTTGTTATACTTGGTGCCCGTTGGTGCAGCTACTGTGTTAATCCATCTCGTTGAGGGTCTTCTTCTTTTCACTGACTCTACTTTACCAAGCATGATGTTCTTCTCCAGGGACTGGTCCATCCTGATAACATGTCCAAAGTACGTGAGATGAAGTCTCTCCATCTTTGCTCTAAGGAGCATTCTGGCTGTACTTCTTGCAAGACAGATTTGTTTGTTCTTTTGGCAATCCAAGTTATATTCAGTATTCTTCACCAACACCATACTTCAAAGGCATCAATTCTTCTTCGGTCTTCCTTATTCACTGCCCAGCTTTCCCATGCATAAGAGGTGACTGAAAATACCATCGCTTGGGTCAGGAGCGCCTTAGTCTTCAAGGTGACATCTTTGCTTTTTAACACTTTAAAGAGGTGTTTTGCAGCAGATTTGCCCAATGCAATGTGTCGTATGATTTCTTGACTGCTTCTTCCATCGGTGTTGACTATGGATCCAAGTAAAATGAAATCCTTGACAACTTCAATCTTTTTTCCTTTTTCATGATCTTGCTTATTTATCCAGTTGTGAGAATTTTTGTTTTCTTTATGTTGAGGTGTAATCCATACTGAAGGCTGTAGTCTTTGATCTTCATCAGTAAGTGCTTCAAGTCCTCTTCCCTTATAGCAAGCAAGGTTGTGTCATCTGTATAACACAGGTTGTTAACGAGTCTTCCTCCAGTCCTGATGCCCCGTTGTTCTTCATATAGTCCAGCTTCTTGGATTATTTGCTCAGCATTACAGATTGAATAAGTATGGTGAAAGGATACAATCCTGATGCACACCTTTCCTGACTTTAAACCACACACTATCCCCTTGTTCTGTTCGAACGACAGCTTCTTGATCTATGTACAGGTTCCTCATGAGCACAATTAAGGCAGACTAGGAGAAAGGACCTGGAGGTCTACTTCTGAAAAGAACTAACCAGTGAAAACTTCATGAATAGCAGCAGAACACTGTCTGATACAGTGCCAGAAGATGAGCCCCTCAGGTTGGAAGGCACTCAAAATATGACTGAGAAAGAGCTGCCTCCTCAAAGTAGAATCAACCTTAATGACATGGATGTAGTCAAGCTTTCGGGACCTTCATTTCCTGAAGTGGCACGACACAAAATGAGAAGAAACAGCTGCAAACATCCATTATAATAGGAACGTGGAATGTACAAAGTATGAATCTAGGAAAATTGGAAATCATCCAAAATGAAATAGAAGGCACAAACGTTGCTATCCTAGTGTCTTAGTCATCTAGTGCTGTTACAACAGACATACCACAAGCGGATGGCTTTAACAAAGAGAAATTTATTTCTTCGCAGTAAAGTAGGCTAAAAGTCCAAATTCACGGGGTCAGCTCCAAGGGAAGTCTTTCTCTCTCTGTCAGCCTTCTCATCAATATTCCCCCGGACTAGGAGCTTCTCCGTGCAGGGACCCGGGTCCAAAGGACACGCTCTGCCCCTGGCACTTCTTTCTTGGTGGTGTGAGGTCCCCCTGTCTCTCTGCTCACTTCAATCTTTTATATCTCAAGAGATTGCCTCAGGACACAATCCAATCTTGTAGATTGAGTCCTGCCTTACTAACACCATTGCCGCCCCTCCTCCCTCATTAACGTCATAGAGGCAGGATTTACAACATACAGGAAAATCACACAACACCAGGAAACATGGCCCAGCCAAACTGATACACACATTTTTTGGGGGACATAATTCAATCCACGACACCTAGGCATTAGTGAGCTGAAATGGACTTGTATTGGCCATTCTGAATTGGACAATCACATGGTCTACTATGCTGGGAATGACAAAGAGAAATGGCATAGCACTCATTGTCAAAAAGAACATTTCAAGATCTATCCTGAAGTACAAGGCTGTCAGTGATAGGATAATTAGGATAATATCCATACACCTACAAGGAAGACCAGTTAATACGACTATTATTCAAATTTACGTACCAACCACCAAGGCCAAAGATGAAGAAATTGAATATTTTTACCAACTTCTGCAGTCTGAAATTGATCAAACATGCAATCAGGATGCATTGATAATTACTGGTGATTGGAATGCAAAAGTTGGAAACAAAGAAGAAGGATTGGTAGTTGGAAAACATGGCTTTTGCAATAGAAACGATGCCGAAGATTGCATGATATAATTTTGTAAGACCAATGACTTCTTCACTGCAAATACCTTTTTTCAACAAAATAAACAGTGACTATGCACATGGACCTTGCCACAGGGAATAATGCAGGAATCAAATTGACAACATGTATGGAAAGAGTTGATGGAAAACTCAATATCATCAGTCAGAACAAGGCCATGGGCCGACTGCAGAATAGACCATCAACTGCTCGTATGCAAGTTCAGGTTGAAGCTGAAGAAAATTAGAACACGACTATGAGAGCCAAAGTACAACCTTGAGTATTTCCCACCTGAATTTAGAGACCATCTCAAGAATAGATTTGACCAGTCCAGTAAGTTTGTTTTTATGTTTTTTTAAGGAATTTAGGAGGTTCTGTTCCACATTTTGCTCCCATTCTGTCAGGGTCCATCTATTGTGGCCAGGTGGGTTTATTTTTCTACCTTAATTTTTTTTTTTTTACCCTATTTTGAGCCAATTGATTCCTTTTTGAGTCTTTACATTTTGCAAATTGATCAGAGATCAACATTTTAAAGTCATGTTTAAATCGCCATATTTAAATCATGGTTCACGTTTAAAGCACTTTTATACATCTTACAGTGACTGACAACCTCTCATGCCGTTTCCTCCCTTCCCCTTGATTCTACTCTCTTTTGTAACTTGTTTATAACAGCTTTATAGAGATATAGTTTATATACCATACAATTCACCCTCTTAAAGTGTAAATTCAATGGTTTCTAGCATAGTCATAGAGTTGGGCAACCATCAACGCAATCCATTTTAGAACATTTTCATCAAGGCAAAAAGGAATTTCTTGCCCATTAGCAGTCACTGCCCATTCTCATGTCCCCAGCCCCAGTAATAATCACTTTTTGTCTCTATGGATTTTACTTTGCTGGACATTTCATATAAATGGCATCATAGAATATGTGGCCCTTCTATGTTTGGCTTCTTTCACTCAGTCATCAAGGTCCATCTGTGTTGTAACATGTGTCATTGCTTCATTTCTCCTTATGGCTGAATAATACACCATTGTGTGGATGCACCACACTTTGTTTATCCATTCCTCTGTTGATGGACACTTGGGTTGTTTCCACATTTTGCCTATTGTGAATAGTGCCGCAATGAACACTGGTGAACAAATTGTTGTACAGAGATGTTTTCACTTCTCTTGGGTATATACCTACAGTGGAACTTTTTGGTACCTTTTCATTATAACAACTTTCAAACAGTCACAAAGGTAGACAGAATAGTCTACCACGGACTCATCACCCAGCTTCAACAGTTATCAGCTCACAGCCACTCTTGTTTCACTTCCTGGGTTATTTCCAGGCAAATTCCAGACTTATCATTTCACCTGTAAATATTTCAGTACTTGTCTTTAAATGTAAAAACCCTTAAAAAATGATAGTACTACCATTAGCGCACCTGAAACGATGACTATCCTCCTTCACATCATGGGGTATGCCCAGGGTGCACGTTTACCTGTCGGCCTTTCTTTTGTTTTCCTGATTGGATTGTTCCAATTGTGCTCTGAGACTAAGGAAGGACCCCATGCAGCATTTGGCTGAAAGTCTCTCAAGGATCCTATCTTCTGTCGGCTACACCTCCCTCTTTTTCTCTTCCTTTTGTTTATTTGGAGAAAGCAGGTTATGCGTCTGGGAGAGTTTCTCACGCCTGGGTTTTGCTGATCGCATCCTGTGGTCATCTCACAAAACCCCCCTATTTCCTGAAAAATAGTTATTAGATCTAGAGACTTAGTTGAGTCAGGCTTTTTTTTTTTTTTTTTCAGAATGTTTAATTCTTTAAAAAGAGAGAGAGTCTCAGTGAGCTTAATGGGTATGTGCCAGCCCTACACCTGGCATTGGGGGCCATAGCCCTGTGCTCAGTGGCACCAGCTGGGCATGTGTTTGACCCTTGCGAAGCCCCTTGTCCACTGTGGTGCTGGATGTCCGGCCAGCACCTGATGCATACGTCGCTGGGTCCAGGTCTCTGGCGGGGCTGGGGCATAGCCTGGGTATCTGGTGACGCTCTGCTGTCCGCCCGCAGGCCCGAGCCACGGCGGCGTCCAAGTGCAGCGCCGCAACCCCACGGTGCTGCGTATGGTGCTGGAGGCACTGCAGGCGGGGGAGCAGCGGCAAGGCACCTCAGTGGTGGCCATCAAGCAGTACATCCTGCAGAAGTACCCGACGGTGAGCGTCACCCGGCTGAAGTACCTGCTGAAGCAGGCCCTGGCCAAGGGCATCAGCCGGGGCCTCCTCATCCGGCCCCTCAACTCCAAGGCCAGAGGGGCCACCGGCAGCTTCAAAGTAAGCCCACCAGGCAAGAGGGGTCAAGAGGTTTCAGGACCCTGGTTGGACATTAGTCCTGGCTCCCTCTTTTCTCTCGGCCTTGGCCTTGGCATGTGCTGTGCCAGGAATGCCTCCCTCCTCCTGTCTTCTCACCTTATTCCTCCTGTGGGTCTTAGCTGAAATGCCCTCTCCTCTGGAAAGACTGGTTTTTGTGCCTTGTCTGAGCCCCCATGGTCCCTGTCACCCTGGGGGTATCCATCCTCACCCATGAGATCAGATCAGGGCCATGTCAGCTGGGCTTACTCCCAGAATTCCTCACCACGGATGAGGCAAACCAGACCCTGGCTCTAGAAGGTCATGGAGCTGGAGTTTGTTCCCTGCTCTCTGGCTCCAAACCCAAGACAAGGGTTGACCCTTCCCTGAGCTACCATTTCTTCCCCTTTCAAAGGGGAGGGTCCCAGCATGGTAATGAGGCTTCAAGAGGGTCCTGTCCAGGGCCACTCAGAGCTGAGGGCAGATTTGGGACAAAATCAAACCCCTGCATTGTGGGAAATCTCAGGGATGCATACATGGGGTCTGTCTTGGCAATGGTGCACCCTAGCATCTTGCCCAACGTCTGGAACACAGCCGTTGGTCAGATAGTTGCCATGGAACATTGTGGAACATTCTGAGCCTGCCATGTGCCAGCCCCTGTGGTAACTGATCACAGGAAGTCCCACCCTCATGGAATTCCTGGGCGAGGGTTAGAGCTTGGACACAAGTCATGACAAGGCCAAGTAGGTAGGGCAGGTAAACTCGGAGGCTGTACCCACAGAGTGGGGTCCTCGGGAAGGAGGCTCTCCCTCACCGCATGGGAGAAAGAGAGTATTGATGGAGGACCCAGGATCTGGGGTGGACATTCCACTGATTGATTCATAGCTCTGCCTCTCAGTAGTTGTGTGCCTTTGGCAAGTGACTCATCACCCTCTCTAAGCCTCAGTTTCCCCATCTGTAAAATGGGGTCAATAAGTGGCTCCTTCCATCAGCACAGAGCCTGACCCAGGGCAGGAGATGTTAGAAAGAGGAGGGTGATGCAGAGGGCAGAGGAGGCAAGCGGAGAGGGGCACAGGGGGAGCAAGTGGTAGGGTTAGGCTCTCGGGTCTGTAAACCAGTTAGGAAAGTGGGCTGAAGGAGGAGAGGGGAGTTGAGGCAAGGGAAGTGGGACCACAGGCGTCCGGGAGTTTGGGATACACGTGCAGGTGGGGGTGAGGGTATGGTTTCTGATCTTGGTGGGCACGGAAGCCCTGAGGGTTTGGGGTGGGAGCAGTGATGTCATCAGAGCTGGGCTCTGGAGGGGCAGGGACTGCGTGTTTGCCAGGGGCCCTCTATCCCCTGACGCTCATTCCTCTAGTGATGAGAGGTTTATCTTCCTTGTGGAGATGAGAAAGCCAAGGAGGCCGGGGTGGGAAAGAGACGACTGGACTGCAGCTCGCCGCTGGGAGGGGTGAGGCCTCTGTGAACTCAGAGCCCATGACCCACTGGGCATAGGGGAAAGGGAGAGGCGAGAGTAGGCCAGGCCTTTGTGGAGAGACCGATGGGAGGGTCGAAGGGGATTCATAGATTCAGCATCTTGAAGGATAGTGATGGGGGCAGAAAAGGATTCTGTGTTCACAGTGCACAGTCTGTGCTCCCTAAAGCCTGGCTTTGAGGCTTCGAGATGCAGGCATGAGTTGAGCAACACCTCACTTTTACCAAGCTCGAAGAGCTGCTTAACTGCCCCCCACAGAGAGGAGGGTACCAGCCTGGGGCATCAGCTGATAATCTGTGCCTAAGGTCCCCATTAGCAGACACCCAGTGAGTTGCAAATGTGTATCTTCTCCTCACGCCCTAACCACCTTTTAGCACCTTTCCTGGAATGGGTTCTTCTTCCCCTGAGTCTTACACAGGGTGTTGGGGGGTGAGATGCTCAGAACTTCTGTTCTTGATACCACCCCATTCTCTCCTCCTCCAGTTAGTTTCCAAGAAAAAAAGGATAATCCAGCCCAGAAAGAAGTCCACCATCATGCCCACCCAAAAACCCGGTGAGGCCAAGGAGAAGGGCCCCAAGAACCCCAGCAAGGCAAAGAAGGACCCTCCTCACCCGGGCAAGGTGAAAAAGGTGCCCAAGAAGCCGGGTAAGGTGAAGAAAGTTCCCCCCAAGCCAGACACAGCCAAGGAGAAGACCCCCAAGAAAGGCGGCAAAGCCAAGGCCAAAGTGGCAAAAGTAGGTGAGGCCAAGAAGGTCCCCCCCAAACCAGAGAAGGCCCCAAAGGCCCCTCCTGATGCTGCTGGGCTCAGCGGGAAGTCAACAGTCAAAGGCAGCACCAGCAGCCAAGGTGGGTGTGTGAATGGGTCGAGGAGGGTATGGGATGATGGTCCCAGTCATGGGGGTGGAGGGCAGTCCAGCTTTGGGGAGGGCGTTTCCTAATCTAGTATATGTGCCCAGTGGGCTCAGCTTGACCTGGAGAGACAGAGACTCGTGGTAGCTGGGGTGGGCGAGGTGGGGCAGGAAATGGGGCAGACATTTAAAGGGTTATGGGTGGCAAAGCAGGCACTGGAAACCCAGAGGAGGAGCCTGACTTATCGGAGGCAGGGGTCTGGGAAGCCTTCCTGGAGGAGGTGTCCCAAGCAGGAGAACAACATGTGAGAAAGCCTGGAGAAATAAAGAAGAGGAACTGCAGATAGTTCTGTGTCTGTCTACAGTGTCAGGAGCGGGAGCCAAAGCTGCAGGCTGTGCAGGGCAGGCAGGAAGGAGGCTGGACTTTTATTTGGAGGGCAGTGAGGAGCCACAGAAAGGTTCTATTGTTAGCTGCTGTTGAGTTGGCCCCCAACTCATGACGATCCCATGCACAGTGGAGCAAAACACTGTCCAGTCTGCACCATCCCCACAATCAGTTGTGGGTGGGACTGTTGTGATCTGTAGGATTACCATCCGCTGATTTTCAGAAGCAGATTGCAAGGTCTTTCTCCCTAGCCCATCTTACTCTGAAACCTCCGCTGAAAGCTATTTAGCATCATAGCAACACACAAGCCTTCACTGACAGATGGGTGGTGGCTGTGCATGAGGTGCATTGGCTGGGAATTGAACCCAGTTCTCCCACATGAAAGGCGAGAATTTTACCACGGAACCATTGCTGCCTCGGAGGGGAGAACTGGGGTCAGCGTGATTGTTAAAAGCATGTCCTGGCTGTTAAAAGTGTGTCCTGGTTGCCACGTGGAAGATGGACTGAAGACCTGTTAGAATTCTGGTGTGGATGGGCGGGGAGCAGGGTGCCTGCCCTCATGCTTTGCATGGAGGATGCGATTGTCATCCACAATCTATTTAACCCTCCAACCAGACTATGAGGTCAGTCCTATTGTCCTCAGATTGCAGACTAGTTGGAAAAAGTGTCAGTGAGGCCTGGGACCCTGTGGGGGCCTCTGCCCCTGACCCTCCCTGCCCCACCAGCAGCTCCTCCTGAACAGAGTCCTTCCCTGTAGCCCCTCTTGCAGCAGATGCCGAGGCCCCCAGGAAAGCAAACGCTGGCAGTAAGAGTTCCAAAGCCAAGGCCTCCAAGGTAGGTGCTGCATGACTGCCCTGGTCCACCTGAACAGGCCAGGGCTCTTCCTACTCCCTGCCCCTGGAGGGCTCCGTGGGGGAAAGAGGGTACATTTTACCCACTACAAAGCACAATTCACCTTCTTCTCCTCCCTGGCTCTCCAGCACCGTGGGGTATTACCATCTGTCTTAGTCATCTAGTGCTGCTATAACAGAAATACCACAAGTGGATGGCTTTAACAAAGAAATTTATTCTCTCACAGTCCAGTAGGCTACAAGTCCAAATTCAGGGTGTCAGCTCCAGGCGAAGACTTTCTCTTCTCTGTCAGCTCTGGAGGAAGGTCTCTGTCATCAATTTTCCCTTGGTCTGGGAGCATCTCAGTACAGGAACCTCAGGTCCAAAGGACATGCTCTGCTCCTGGCACTGCTTTCTTGGTGTATGAGGTTCCCACGTCTCTCTGCTCACTTCTCTCTTTTGTATCTCAAAAGAGATTGGCTTAAGACAGTACCTAATCTTGTAGACCTCATCAATATAACTGCCACTAATCCATCTCGTCACATCATAGTGATAGCATTTACAACACATAGGGAAATCACATCAGACGATAAAATGATAGACAATCATACAATACCGGGAATCATGACCTAGCCAAGTTGACAGATATTTTGGGGGACACAGTTCAATCCATGATACCATCTCATTTTTACAAATAAGGAACTGAGGCTCAGAGCAGTGATGTCACTTGTCCAAACCCACCAGAGCTGGGGTTAAACCCTGTACTCATGGGCTCCAAGCTCTGTGCCCAGCCCTGACCCTCTGCTGGTTGGCTTTCTTGTAGGGCAAGAATGGTGCAACTTTCCCAGCAGCAAAGAAGACAGCAGCCACAGCCCAGGCCCCTAAAGGTGCAGCTGCCCAGGGGCCTGGAAAGGAGCCTAAAGCCAAGGCAGCAGCTCCGCCCAAGGGCAAGGGCAGCGGTGGGTCCAAGACAGCCCCTGTGCACCTGGCCAAGAAGACAGAGGCCCCCAAGGGCCCAAGAAGGCCTGGGCTGCCTGCCAAGGCCTCGCTGTCTAAGACGTCTATCAAGAAGGCCAAAGCCGAGAGCTAGAGGCTGGGATAGAAAGGCTGAGATTCACCTTGAGTTTTTATTCCCCCATAAACCGTCACTCTATTTATTTAATTGCAACTTATTTGTCAATAAAGATTTGTTTTCACCTACAAATTGGTGCAGGCAGAGGCTGAGGTCCAAGGATTTGGCCATTCCATCACTCAGTCATTCGTAAACATTCACTGAACAACTGTTTGCCTGGCCAGGGCTCGGGCCCAGGACCAGACAGGGGCTTCTGTTCTGGGGTAGACAGATTGTATGTTTGGTACACAGATCAGACGGCTAGGGGCCTGTGGGATCACTGGAGAAGTGTGTAACCCGGCTACGAGATCTGGGACAGCTGCCTGAAGAAGTCAGCTTTTGATCTTAAAGGATGAGTAGGAGTTGCTGGACAGATGAGGGGAAGGGCATTGCAGGCAGAGGGAATAGCATGGGTGGGGTAGGAAGGTGTGGTTGAAGGAGGGTGATTTGTGGTTTTGAATAGAGCATGGGGGTGGGGTGGCATGAGCCACTGGGTTGTGGGGGTGAGGTGGGAAGGCCTGGGATGGGGGCAGACTAAGGAACATAGACTGGGATACTTGCTCTTGGGGGTAGTGGGGAGCTAGGGGAGGGATGTAGGCCAGGAGTGACTGAAGACTATGTTAAGAAGAGCCCTGTGGCTGTGGAGATGAGGGGCTAGAGGAGCTGAGAGGAGTCAAGGAGACCATTCAGCAACTAGTTTCTGAGCGCCACTGAATGCCAGGCAGTGTCACAGTCACCAAGGAGATGGCCTTCCCAGAGCATCCAGGCCAGAGAAGGAGACAAACAAGCCTAGATGCCAAGTGGCACCTGGGCTGAGAAACAAAGCAGGGCAGAGTCTAGAGAAGGACAGATGGGCTAGCTGCTACTGTAGACAGGCTGGGCAGGGAAGGCCTCTGAGGAGGGGAGTCAGAGCAGGAGCCTGTGTACCTAGGGGAAGAGCATTTTGGCCAGAAGCGCGAGAAACTGCAAAGCCCCTGAAGTGGGAACATGCTTGACAGGGTCAAGGAACTGCAAGGAGGTTCATGTGACTAGACCGCAAGGAGGGAGGAGGACAGTAATGGGAGATGAGGTGGAGGATGCTTTAAAAACATCTGTGACACTACTCCGATCAAGAGGTGGCGTTTGCGTCCCTGCGCCTTGCATCTGGGCTCTGTGATTGCTCCACCAATGGAACACAGTGGAAATGACACTACATCAATTTCTGAACCCACGCTTTAAGAGACTGGCAGCTTCTACTTCCTGTTCTTGGGACACTTGCTCTTGGAATTCAGCCACCATGCTGTAAGGAAGCCCAAGTTAGCCCATGGAGAGGAACTGAGGGCCCTCCATTTTCCACCCCAGCTGAGTGCTCAGTCGGCCACCAGCACTGAGTGCTCCATCTTGGACTTCCAGCCCTAGTTGAATTGCCGCAGTTGACACCACATAGGGCAGAGACAAGCCTTCCCTGCCAGGCCCCACCCCAATTGCAGATTCATGAGCAAACTAAATAATTACTGTTGTTTTATGCCATGAGTACTGGGGTTGTTTGTTATGCAGCAGCAGATACTTGGAACAAGCTCTGCGAGGCTGACCAGGGCTAGACCATGAAGGGCCTTGTAAGCCAAGAGCAGAACTTTGGGTTTTATTTTCAGCAGAGTGACAGCAGCGGACACAAGCAGGAGCAGGGAGGCAGTGGGGAGCTCCTGCAGGAGTGCCAGTCACAGCCTGGTGTCATGGAGGGAGCAGTGGAGGATTCTGGAAAGATCTGGAAGCTGGAGTGGATGGGATTTACTGATGGATTGGGTGTGGCGGGTGCTCGATGGAGAAAGCGCTCACTGATGGGTCCACAGTTTGCGTCTGAACAGCTGTGTGGTTGCACAGTGGCCATGTCCTGAGATGAGAAAGCACCACGGTCAGGAGGCTGCTGAGACGTGGTCCCAGTGAGGCGGCAGCTGAGTCAGGGAGGGCGGGGAGAAAGGGCGGGTCCCTGGGCTGTGCCGACAGTTAAGGCACTCGGCTGCTAACTGAAAGGCTCGAGGTTTGAGTCTACCCGGACACAACTTGAAGAAAGGCTTGGCAATCTACTTCCAAAAATCACCCATAGAAAACCCTGTGGAGCTCATTTCTACTCTGACACACATGGGGTTGCCATGAGTCAGAAATGACTTGACGGCAACTGGTTTTCTGAGGAGGTAAACTGGGGTCACCATGAGTCCCACTGGATGGGACTTGGGAAGGGGGCAAATGGGCACAGAGGGAAACTGAGGCGCCAGCATGAGGTATGAGACTGCTCCATTCCTGCCTCCACTCCTCACCCTGTCACCTTCCCAGAATTCCACACCAGACTGTCTGGCTGCACTGACAGCTTCCCTGGGGTATCTGTAATGTGGCTGCCAGCAGGGCCCCGAGGGTCACTGTGAGCAGATGGTGGGGGCTGGGCTCCTCTGCTCCTTTCAAGGCTCTGTCTGAGGTTGCAAGAGGCACCCCAGGGCAGGCCCTGGGGGCGCGTCACTGGGCATCTTGCCCTGAGTGAGATCATGGGGATGGCATAGGACCGGCAGTGTTTTGTTGTGTTGGACATGGGGTGGCCATGAGTTGGGGGCCAACTCAACAGCTGCTCACAACAATATGGCAGAGGGGGAGACCTTGGGTAAGTCACCTCCCCTGTCTGCAACTGCTTCTCCACTTTTGAAAGGGGGTTAGCTGGTACAAATGATTCAGCACTCAGCTGCTAACTGAAAGGTTTGAGGTTTGAGTCTACCCAGACACATCTTGGCAACCTACTTCCAAAAAATCAGCCACGGAAAACCCTATGGAGCTTAAGCTCAGGACTCTATGCCAAGGGTCCTCACTCTTCCGTGACCCTTAGGCAAAGGGAAGGGAATCCCGAGGCCTGTGGCTGCAAGACATGGATTGCGGATTGTTCACAGAAGTTGGCCACCGTCTGCACCAAGAAATGCCTCCCAAACTAGAGATTTTCTCCGTTTGCAAATGTGTTTCTAAACTTCAAGAAGGAATTGCATGCTAATCAGGCATTAAAACAGGCTGTGGAATATTTAATGACATAGAAAGATGTTGCTGACATATTGTTGCACAGGGGAGAAAAGCAGGTTTCAAAATGGTGTGTACACTCTGATCCCAAATTTTACTCCCCAACACCCCCCAACCCATCATGCAAGACATTATTTGGAAGGGGGGGGGTCCTCGAAAATACCAGCCATGGTGGGGTTAGGGTAGCTTTTGTTTTCTTCCTGCTTTTCTGTACTTCCTGACATCTCTCCAGGAAGCATGTATTTATTCTAGAATCCCACCAAAAAAAAAAAAAGAAACCCTATCAAACGTGACAACTTAAATTAGAAAATCTGCTTAATAAAAAGGAATCAATGCTCAGAATAGAAAATGTGAAAGATGAAGAATAATATCTCCATTTAGAAGCCACCACAGGAGAAGGCTGTTTTTAAAGCTAAGGATTGTTTACTTTTCTGGTCTAATTCTAGAACTGGTGTTTGTGGGATTTGGTTGAAATTTTATGAATTTTGTGTCCCAGTTCTTACTCTTGATAAATATTTATGTGAATTATTTGTCCTTCACAGTGGGGGTGGGGTGAAGTGAACTTGCTTTTAATTGTGAGTGAGCTCTCTAGAGATCTCTTCCTGGGGGGGAAACTCACCCTTGGTATTTGCTAACCCTCAGTCAAGCGAACAGTCCTCATGGGCTATCAGGGAGAAGCCAATAGGGTGGCTAGAAAAGCCTGCCCTTTGGGGAACAGAGACCAGAGTTAATCCGACCTTGGGGAAATGGTCTCCGTCTCCCCATCTGAAAACTGAAGTTGATCATACGTATTTTTCAAGGTTGATGAGAAATCCAGGGCAGGTGGGTAAGCATCAGTAGTCTCTGGGTGGTGCAAATGGCTAACACATTCAGCTGTCAACCTAAAGGCGCCTAGAAGTGCCTTGGAAGAAAGTCCACCTAGAGGTGCCTCGGAAGAAAGGCCTGGCTATCTACTGCCAAAAAATCAGCCACTGAAATCCTGTGGAGCACAGTTCCACTCTAACACACATGGGGTCGCCATGAGTTGGAGTCGACACGACAGCAACCAACTTTGGAGTAAGCATCAGTTCCCGTTCCAGGGTGGTCACCTTTGACCTCCCCAAGCATTTTAGGGGCCGTTGTGGGAGACGGATATAGAAGTATGGAACAAAGAAATGAGTGGGACCATGCAACCTGCGTGGCTGTGAAATTCCTCCTCCACGCCAAGACTCAGTTTCTACATCTGTAAAATGTGGGTAATATTACACTTCTCTGCGGACATTGGTGTTTCGGTGGAAAAATTCTTGCCTCCCATGCAGGAGACGGGGGTTCAATTCCTGGCCAAGGCACCTCATGTGCAGCTACCACTAATCTGTCAGTGGAGGTTTGTGTGTTGCTATGATGCTAAACAGGTTTCAATGGAGCTTCCAGACTAAGACGGCCTAGGAAGAAAGACCTGGCGATCTACTTCAAAGAATCAGTCAATGAGAACCCTATGGATCACAACAGTCTGATCTGAAACCAATCATGGGGATGGTGCAGGACCAGGCAGCGTTTCGTTCCTTTGTGCATGGGGTTGCCATGAGTCAGGGACGACTTGACTGCAGCTAACAACATTACGTTCCTCTATGTCGTAAAGATTACATAGATTAGTAGCAGCAAGGCCCACCCAGGGGTAGGTAGCACACAGCAGCTGTGACATCCTCCTGGAGGTCGTGGGGTGCCCTCGGAGCCCAGTGAATGCTGGCTGCAGCCCCGCAGCCTGCATTAGCCCATTGCTGATATCTTCTTAAAGATAAGTAGGTATCTGTCCAGACCTCACAGGGAACATAACTGGGGCAAGAGTCTCGCCCAGGGTCACCTCCCTTCCTTCTGTCATAAGCACGGTGGTGAAAAGACCACCCCCTACCCCAGCTGGCCTGTCTCCCCCTCCTCAGGATGAAGACTGGAGCCCACAGCAGATTTCCCAT